ACTGGAGGAGGGGCAACCTGTAATCCTAAAATATCATCCAATCCCGGAGTGGCACAAGTCATCATACTTATTGTTACTGAATAATGGAAACTTAGGTTTTGCACTTTGGCATCTTGACTTGTCTGACAAAATATTGACTATGTACTGTTTATAATCTCTTATTGTATGTTTTACTTTGTAGCGCTGTTACTCTGCACTCTGTACCTTGGTCTGAGGAATGGCAACAGGAAGACGCGCAGTTCAATTATAGAACCATTTCCTCTCTTCAGTCATGCTCAGAATACGAATTCAAGGTCCAAGTCCTTGTACAGGGACAATCACCAGGGCCCTTCTCGGCTACCATGAAAGTAAAAACTCACACAGCCGGTAAGTAGCAAGCATAGGTAATCAAATCGACTAGCTCCCTCTTTAGGGAGCACTGCCAGCGAGTACTGCCATTTGTCAGCCGTTGAGTGGTGTTCTACCAGGGAAGGATGAAGCAGCACAATACTGATGTGTTTTACAGTTACTTATGGGAACTCAGTCACGCCCCCGGCATTTTGAGTTATTTTGGCCTCGTGGAAAATTGACTTAAACTTGAAGGAAACCTGAAAATAATAGTTTACTATTATAGGAAAATACCACAGAGGTAATAATAAACCATAAAGGAGCAAGTATGCATAAGGATGGAGAAGATTAACACGGATTACAATCGACAAACTTGAAAAGTTAGAGTAAACCTTTAAAGATGCGCAAACCGTGATATAGCTCCTTTAAAATAACTTTTGTTCACAATTTTTTACTGAAGTGGTGATAAATATGGGTTACCGACCAAGCGTGAGGTCAAGATGGCTGGGTATTGCATTTGGCCAAGTTCTTTTTTTGCGTGTTCAGTATGGACCGAGACGGAGTCGAGGTCAACAGAAATATAGATAGCGACGAAACATGGCTGTTTATTGTATTACACCTTGCAGCGTAACTTCAGTTAATAATGTTCTTAGTAAATTCTTCCAAAAGCTTACTGTAGGTCACTTTACAACATACATGTACTCTTACGTTAACGGTAGAGTAAAGTCTGCATACGAGCTAAGTGGCCCACCAGGCCGGAGCTTATCCCGGTTTCTGTAGCATGAAGGGACTAGGAGTATTTCTACTCCCCCCTGGATNAATGTTCAAGCTCTGCTGAGACGTGGCAATACATTACGAATAACTTGGGATACTCCAGCAACCTACTGCAACTTGATCACCAATTATATAGTAAGCCTACTATCACATTCTTCTGTTTTTTTAGTGATATTGAGGACTTTTACTTGTATTTCAGAAAGTAAGTCAACTAAAGTGCGTGTTAGGCCTCAATACTTTATAAATTGGGATCAAAATCAGGCAGGTATAATACCCAATTAGAAACGACGACCCAAGCCGCCAAAAACGCATACCTTATAGGAAGATCCTAAATTGAATGTTAGTTTCAGAGTCTGTTGTGGTGGTCATCTACAATTAAGCGGGATTCTAATTTAAACCTTCATTAAACCTTCACTTTCCATTCTGCGTCCAGTCCACTAAATTCCCTAAAGACTGGTTCTCATATCCCGCCGACCTACCTGTGACATAGTCGCCGGTTGCAACTGACAACATTCGGCGATCTGTTCCAGTGGGTCTCCGGCGCATCTGCGATGGATCGCCGACATACTCAAATTTGCGCGAAATCCAAATCGAATGGGCGCAATTTTCAACCATTTCACCTGTAAGTATGGATCGAATCGTCTTACTGGAGTACGTTGCATCCGCAGATGATGTTCACATAAAATATTTTCATCGCCAATAATCGCCGACAACCGCCGGCTTGCCCTGCGAAGTTGAACTCAGCTCAACTTTCCAAATTCCGTGAGGCCTACGGGAAGTGCTGTTGCGCTCATTTTGTGGCAGACAGATATCAATCACGTAGTGAAAATGTTTTTGTTGTTGTTGTTTCTTCCTTTTTGGCAGGTCTATTACAAGCAAGTCGCAGATGCGCACTACAAGGTTGATGTAGCTGGAAACGTTCAATCATATCAGACAGGAAGACTTACGGGAGGAGAGACATACATGATCCAGGTTAGGACAGGGATGAAAAGGATGTAATGTGTATTTCAAACTCTACAATAACACGGTAACCGGTTACCGGTTAGCTCAGTGGTAGAGCACCGGATTAGCGTGCGGGAGGTCGCGGGTTCAAAGCCTGGCCGGACCAACACTCAGGGTCTTTAAATAATTGAGGAGAAAGTGCTGCCTTTGTAATGACATCTGCAAATGATTGGACTTTCTAGTCTTCTTGGAAAAGGACGATAAACCGTAGGCCCTGTCTCACAACTCTTCATAATTAATTCTGTGTGACGTAAAAGAACCCACACACTGATCGAAAAGAGTAGGGGACATAGTTCCCGGTGTGGTGGTCTATCTCTCGTCTGATGGTTAAATGCTCGGAGATATTAGCTGCATAAGCTACTCTGAAATCCGAAGGTAAATAAAGTAATGTATGTAATGTATGTATATATGCAGGCTTGCTGACGATCTTTTCGAACTGCTGTTTTGTTGTACAGCTAAGTAGATAGGCCGGAAATAGGACTTCTTAAGTGTCCAATATATTGCAATTCTTCACTACGTTCTTGTAGGAGAGTGGTGTGTGTATTTTAAGGCCCCACCCTCCCGGGGGAGTCTGGAGGAATGGCACATGACTTTCAATTGTACACAAGTATTTTCTAACTCTGAACCAAATCTTAAAGAAACGAAATACGTTAAAATAAAATAGCTAAAATTAATCACGCTTCCTCGCCATTCTCTTGAACTGAAGTCTATTTACGTCAGATATTGCCGAGCTCTTTCTATGACATGTTTGAACCCAACTTTGTGAAGGATGTTTCTTACTGGATGGGGACAGAATTTAGTCATTCAAATTACAGACCCCTTACAACCCAAGGTTGTGATCTTAGAAGTTGCTAAGTCCAAACATGCTGAGCCTTACGTTTAAGTGTTTGAAATAGTTGGAGAATGCTTACGGCTTTAAATTTNTTTTTTTTTTTTTTTTTTTTTGACATTAAAATGTGGTTGTTCTTTCCAGGTACGAGCAAGCAATGCAGATGGAAATGGCACATTGTCTGAAGTTTATCGTGTGTATATTCCAATAACCATACAAAAGCCAACAGGTAAGGTTGAATTTAATTTGTAGTTATGTCTAGTAGTACATGTATGCACGTTATTGCCTACTTATCCGATTGGTCATGGCACATTAAATTTTTTTGTTGTTGTTTTTCTTGTGCTTATGCTTATGTCAAGAAAGAACGCGCTGCTGTAAGCATTAGCCTAAGTCCGCCATCTTGCTTTACTGTTTCGGAGAGGTTTGGAGCCGAGTATAAGGCAATTATCCATTCTGCGCATGCTTACGTGCTGATGCTTGTGTTGTGGTTGTCTTCATTAGCGTTATGCTTATGCTTGTGCTTGATGTATTGAATTGTATTGTGATGATATATTGAAAACCAGGTTTAACATTGAAGCAACCACAGATTGAAGCAACCACAGTTTTCGTATGCATTCTCACAAGCCTATTAAGATGGCAATTCAGTTTTAAAGAATTATGAAACATTAAGGCCATACAAATTAAAGACGGTGTTTATTCACTTGCCGTGACGTCTCGAAAGCTGTTGTTCGTTGGAAAAAAAAGTTGTCAAAACAAGCTGATGGGCTGAACTTCAGACCTAAAAACACGTTACCATTGTTTTTGTATGAAGAAATGGTCCATTGTTCCGGCTCAACATCTCATATTAAGTAAAAATGAATAGCCAGATGAATAACCTTTTGCTCTTGGTAGCCCTGAGGAACCTTGTCCGAAGCTGAGCCAAAATCATCGCCGTTGTTCGGAAAATTTTCGGCACAACAATTAACCTGTTTCTCTCGTAAAGTCAATTCTCACCGGAGAGTACCCCAGGGCAAAATCTCTCCGCACGTCAACTTGTCCCTAAAGAGGAACATGTCACCTCTTATTGAATTCTCTTATTTAGCAATTCGTAGCTTCTTGGTTTTCAACAAAGTTTGCCTCAATTTTCTGTGGTCTACTGTGTTAAAAACAGATAGTCCTACGATCCCAGTCAGGTTAATAAAGAAAGCCCTTGTTAAACTCTCTTGTGGAAACAAGGCATAAGCTATGAGCACCGGTAGTGACGTATACTTTTGTCTCGAAGGTCAAGTGTATCCTGTTCTTGAATGTGTGTTTTAATTTATGCTGTACTTTGTATTTCAGACCCAGTGTCAAATCTGAAACATACAGTTGTAAATCTTACAACAGTGGTACTCACATGGGGAGCTCCTATCTCGCATGGCACTGCACAGCCTGTGCAGGTAATTACTGTCATGATGCCATAAAAAAATTATTCGATGACAAATTGATCCAAGATGAAAAGGAAAATTCTGATTGATTCCATCAGCGGTCCGAATTTTGCATTATGAACCGCTGAGGTGCATGGACTACCCATGAATTGGTTTTGATGAATGGCTCTTTTAAAAACATTGCGCGACTTAAGATTCTACTTATATTACTTTCACGAAAGCGACCTGGGAACATTAGTAAATGCTTAACTTTTTTGCGCGCGTTTTACGTTTAGCGGACTGTGGTGTGGACTGAACCTTAATACCAGTTTATGTAATTAGTTTATGGCAAACTCATCGGAATTGAAAAGGAGATCTCTGATTGGTTCCTGAGTGATCCGAATTTTGCAATATGGACCGCTAAGCTAAGATGAACGGCTCATTAATACGTTTTGGTGATTGCTTTTCAAAGTGTTCCACGAATAAGTACAATAGCACGTGGTGAACTAAGCTCACAAAGAGCATGTCTTCGTTTAGGCTTAATAAGCAATTGTTGGTTTGTTGTTTTTGTGTATTTCGATGTAGGGCTACAAAGTGTATGAATTACTAACAAGCAGTGGCCCGGTACTCCNGCATTTCTGCCGCACTTAATTGAATTGAATTCGACACGGCAGAAATGCGACGTATGAACCGGGCCTAAGGTGGCTCAATAGGGTAATGATTTATTGCCCTCCGCGCGCTAGTGTTATGTTTTGAAAGCTGTTTTTGCATTTGTTTTAACACCCAGTCCTCTCAAACTTACTAAATGTAATAAGCAATGATGATATATTGATTTACTATCACTCTGTTAAATCTTGGCTTTTAATCTTGAATTATGAATGCCCAAACAAATGTGTTGTTTACCGTTTTTATGGCTTTATTTGCGATTTTCTTGAATTTCCTGCGGTAAAATCTTCCAAGTTTTTACCGTACATTAAACCCGGCGAGACACGAATTTTAAACACAAAAAAAGTAGGGTTTGTAAAGGCAGTTTTTTTAGATTTTTGCAAATTTATGTCCGCGAAAAAACTGGTCAGATAGATTTCCCTGAAAAACGAGCTCCAACTAAAGTAAAGTATTTATTACCCGTTTGCCAAATTTTACGGAATTTACCGAAGGAAACGCGAGAAAATTCTCTGTCAGTTTGCTTTTTGTGCTCATGTTGACGTCATAAAATATTGAAAAACACTGACGCTTTCCTTTGAGCGCGCGCAGATTACTTGAGCTTTCGTCCTAAGCCGGCGCGCGTGCGATCGTAAAACTATAGGGAGCTACCTTAACTTTTGATAATTATATGACCTATAGGCGTTGGTAGAAACTCCTTAAGGCTTTTGTTTCAAATGGTCAATCAAAATGCGCGAGGTGGGGAAGGAGTTTTTATGCTCCACATTTAATTGCGGCGCTGGCAATTGACATCTCTGCATCCCCGCAGATTTTGCAATTTGATTTTCTAGTTTTAATGGAAGCCATCAGAAGGCCGCCAGAACGATGTCAAAAAGTTGTTTAAAAGTTTGTTGAGATCAACTGATGTGTTCCATGACGTTTTCAGAGCAAGATGTACGGCGTTTTCTTTTTCTCCCATGGCCTAGCTGCAAGATAATAGTACTTATACTAATACTACCAGTTTCATTGACTCCTTGAAAGTTTTTCCCTTGAGAAAGGTGAACTGAATGTGACATGTCGAACAGAGAGAGCTATAAAATGCTTTGATTGTTTTAGTATGGCGTGATACAAGTCTACTTCACTGTTAACATAAACTGGGCACAATGCATTTTAACCAATGAAAGGTTTATTCCCGAAACGTGGGAACAATTACCACAAGAATCGAAGACTTAAACATTTCCAAAAGAGGTTTCACTAAAACACTTACTCTCAAGTGCATTTGTCGATGTCATATTTACAATTTATGGTTATTTAATGTTTCCTTTTCTTTTACTCAAATTTTATCATGCAGATTTGTTTAATAAGATTGTTTAGAAAGGGTGAAGGTGTTATAATCTTGGAGAACAGTTAGTTTTTTTAACCTTGCAAACTTAAAGGTGATGTTTCCTCTTAGATCCGTTTCTTGGGCCTGGTTCTTTTAAATTTATCTGCCATTAAATTGTCTTCAGATTTATACATGGCTCGCACAGACCTTGAACGGTCCTTGAAAAATTGTTATATCCTTAAAGAGTTCTTAAAAATGAAAAATTTAGGTTTTCCAATTTTACCAGCAGTCCTTTAAATTTGTTGACAAGTCCCAGAAGACCTCAGACTACACCATAAAACAGGGCAATATTGACGCAAACTGTAGGTTGAGAAAAACGATTCAAGTCGCAAAAGATTGATTTTGATGATACAGGAATTGAGTGATCATTATATGAAGTATTTCTGTCCTCAGCAGGCTCTTAAGTATTCTGTATTTTGTGTCACCGGCCGAAACAAACTTTAACAGCTGATTCGAAGGGGAACGAGTCCTTGAATGTTGCTGAAATGTCCTTGAAAAAGCACTGAATAGTCCTTGGGGAAGAAGGACTGAAGTTTGTACAAATCATGTAATTATTTCAAGTGTAATTAAGTAACAGTTGACAACCTTTTCTACCCTATTCAGACTTACTACATCTACTATGGGCCCTTGACAAGTGGAGTCAATCTTCGGCCAGTGGGTCATACTTCAGCGATGAGTTTTGCGGTGGGCAACTTGCAACAGGACATTGTTTATGTGTTTGAGGTGTCCGTGGGTTTGACGGGGAAGCACAGTGATCCAGTCAATTCCAAGACATTATTTGGTTTGTAGATTTCATTATGTAGTGGCGAAATTAGTGCGTGTAGGGAAATTTGAGTCACTTTGCCAAATTTGATTTTGATCTTTAGAATCATGATCCCGTTATTGTTGCTTTTATTGGTTCTGACTACAATAAACACGAGACAACCAATGTGAATTAACAAATTGACATCAGTTTTTCATGCGTCTGTCCTGTTATTGATCATGATTTCGTCATAACATTGTCATAGTAGCTGTAGATCCACGAGGCGATAGCCGATAACAAATTGTCAAATTGTCCGCTCTCGCTCGTTGACGCATGGTATAAATTATAAATTTATGAGTCTGTCCGCTAATTGACAATAAAAATAAGCCAAGGAGCGCGGGAGAATTTTTGCAGTTATCGTAAAATAGCTTATTGAGGATGCTTCCGTCAGTTTTCTGATACAGATGTATTCCGTCTTACAACATAGTATGTATCTTTGCAAATTACAAGTGTGGTCATAAGTACCAGTTATCTCATTAATGTGTTGTTTCTTGTGCTAGATGCGGAAGATGAGCCTGTACATAGTCTGAAGGCTGTTGTTACCGATTTCAGTACTATTGTCCTAACTTGGGAAAAACCAGCGGGCGTATCTTCAGATGCCATCAAAGTATGTACTACTCAGATTCCTGTCCGATATTGGCATGCGTTACAAAGTCAATGAACATTTTAAAATGTGCTTGAAACTTCAGACTTTAAACTCTCTGGTGGTACTAAGTATCGTGCTGCACTAGGTAGATCTACCGTACGTTTAAGCCCGTGAATGACCGTGTCCATTGAATCATGCGGAAAGCCTTCGAACTTTACTGGCCCCAAATGTTGTGTATTGAATAGTATTTTCATCAGGTATTTTTTATTATCCTTTTCAAGCTAGTTCTAACCTGATAAATTTGTGGATGAGCCCATAGTCTGCTACCACTAAATTTGAAGGTGCATACTTTTCTTATATTTTTCAGAACTATACGATTGAGGAGTCTTTCAAAAATCCGATGTCGGGACTTACAACAAAGGTCAAGGCAGACACTGTCGGCAAGGAAACTGCCTACACCTTCAACCACCTCTATTTTAGTACCAGCTATTCTTTTGTCGTAAAGACAAGATTTTACAAAGGTGACCAGCTTGGTAGGGGTGTTACCATCGTGAAAATGACCGGTCCTTTCTCAGCTTCTGTTGGGCCCTTGCAGAAAACAATTCAAGACAACACTGTCATACTGTCTTGGTCTGCGCCACGGACAATTAATTTGAACAGAGGTCTCAAGGTAAATACTGTGCATGTAGCATTCTTCTTGGCATTGAGACGAAAGTGTAATTTTTATGTACTTACTTGTACCGTGTCATAAGGTACATATAAATTGTATAAGGCTATGACATTCTGTCAGATGGTAGTTAACATGCATCAGTGACAAAGTAAATGGTTTGAACCAAGAGTATCAGTAGTTTGACTAGTGCGATCGTCTGGATGACAGAAGTTTAGCAGCTCTCACAAGCTTGTAATTCTTTTGCTTGTTAGCAGCTGTTATTGTTTGGGGCTAGGAGCATTGTTTCTGTTATTTGTTCTACTGTCCTCTCAAGGGGTATCAAGCCATTCATGTGATACCTTACAAGAGCTGCTATCCGACCCCCTGGGTAAGGGTAGTTCTGAATAGAACTTTTATTGGTGGACGTTTCGACAACGTGAGCGGAGGCCATATTCAGAGTCAAGTGAAAAGTATTTGTCAGTCGATCTTGTCCGTTGAAACTGATTGGTCGGTTAAGCCGTGATGATATGTGCTGTCAGTTTCGGGTAAAGTTTGCCAACTGCCATTGGTCAGTTGTAGTAACTATTGTTGATCACATTTTATGCCATGAATTTGTCGTTTGTAAGGTACCGGTAGCTGTTGACATCTGTTGACCGGCGTTTGTTCTAAGCTAATGAACCAGCCCCCTTCACCCACACGATCGCACAGTGACACTAGACGAAGTCATGTATCAGTACTTGTAACATACAGTTATGCACACTTCAGTAATGACCCAGTTATATTTTATTACTTTGTCGTCCGTTATCTTGTTGTTGCTGAATATTTTTATTATTTCTATTTTTTTACCACGCTCCAGAATTACAACATCTCTTGGACATGTCCTGGCTGCTACTCTCAGAGGTCTGATTCAAAAGTGTCATTGAAGGACACGACAACCCACGTACCTAACCTGGAGCGGGACCAAACCTATAGCTTCAATGTTTACGCAAATACCATCTTTGGTCCTGGAGAGATATCCACCACAACAGCCACAATAAGTCGCTATTTCGGCCAAGTTCAAAAACTGAAACAGAACTTTGAAAATCACACCTTGACGCTTCAGTGGGATCAACCCAGTGATGTGGAAGCCAAAGACATTAAGGTATCACGTGCCATTTATTCCTTGGCTAGAAACGTTTATGTTTTTATCGTTTTTGTCCTCAGTGCAAGCTGTTAATTCTTGTTAATATATAATTGTTATTCATCAGATCTTCGTCCAGTCCGGAGAGCAGGACAAGGGCTGATTATCGTGCATTTTTTTCAGCCCTGAATGTTTCTCTATTGCAGGAGAATTTGGGCTAATATACAATGACTTGATTTGTGTTAAAAAAAGATATATACTAAAAGAAAATACCTCCTTATTTTAGTCAGTGTGAATTGTTTGAAGGTAATGCATTTCATTTTCACGTTCAGTCAGCCGACGGTGAACAGACAGTCTTATGTGAAAGCTATTGTTCACAAACGGGTTGTCTGGGATTTTTCTTTTTCATCAAAAACCAGCACACGAAATTCTCAATTCTCGATTCTCAATTCTCAATACACAGACACTTGAGAACGAGTTCATGAGAGCTCTAAGGTGTTTATTGGATAAATAGAAAATAACATGACTTGACATAATGTGTGGTAAGTATTGCTTTATCTCTCTTGGGCTTTTAGTGCTGACTGGGAACTCCTATCTGTTTGGTTGCAGCGTTATTTAATTTCTTGGTGTGACACCACAAAGTACAGGTACTGTTACATACTCAATAGCACAAATGTCACTGGAGGTCAGACTCAGTTTAAGACACCTCTTTTCGCTGGAGACACCTACACGTTTTACGTTCGAGCTGTAACAGCTTATGGAGAGNCGCCCGTAGGCATTCTATCACATGATACTGCCAGAATTGCGATCAGATGGAAACCACTCTCTAGAGGGTGGAGCGATCCTTGTAGTAGAAATATACCGAAATGCAGTGCGTCGTTGTTTGATTCAGGTCCTTGCGGGCGTTATTCGCTAGTGGTGACCAAATAGAAATTGGTAGTCGAGTAGCGATCGTAACGATAGAATGGAAGACCGCCTTTATCTGAGTCTCTTTAATATTAAGATTTATGCGACAGCGATATGAAATGCGGTTGTGGCGATTATATGGAAATCAGCCTTTATTAGAGTCTTTTTTATATATGTATATTTAATTTTCTTTGGCAGCAATATGAAGTGAGATGGCATTGCATTCAAGGTCGTGGGCACTGTTACTGGAATGAGTATTATGGATGGCAAGAGCTAACCGTGAGCACAACAACTGCCACAGTAAATTTGACACGCTATGACATGGCGTACGTGTTTCAAGTGCGAGTGCTCACACCCCAAGGCAGAGGAAAACCCAGTCAACTATATTACGCTGTTCCAGCATTCAGTGGAATGCCTACTCAGTTTAATTGCAAGGTCACACCTTCCAACTCTTTAATTGTGTGCCACTGGGTACCGCCCACAGATTTCAATCCATCTGGATTTTATGTAAGTAGCAAAATGTAGACCTTATCTTGAATTGCAAACGCTCTCCAACATGACCAGCCACAGCTGTCCTTCTTGGGGGAGTTTGCACCTTGTAGATTTAGATGCCTATGTCCACATTAGAAATGTGTCCACAAGTTAGAGAAGAGTCTACCATTGACAGCTATCCACTTTGGAGGGGCGTACACCTTGAAAATACAGTCTTCGCGAGGTTCTCACCATCAAAGGTTCCCATCTCAGAGAGGTGTACACCTTAAAAATAATTATGTCTACGATTGCATGGTGTCCACCTTAGAGAGTTGTCCACCTTGGACAGTTACGCACCTTACGAGGTGTACGACTTGGAAAGTTGTCCACTGTATAGGGTGTCCTACTTGGTAAGGTGTCCACATTGGAGAGGAATCCTTCTTAGGTTCCCTACTTAGAGAGTGGACACCTCCTCAATATGTCCACTTAATTAAAGGTGTCCATTGTAGTGAGGTGTCCAACTAAGAGAGGAGTGCACTTTAGAGAGGTGTCCCCCGGCCCCGAAAGGTATTGACATGTTCTTCTAAAAGTGATTACTGGAAAAATAAAACGCCTTTGCAGATCAGGTAAATTATAAGCGAGCATGTTCGTTGTTAGATGACCATTACAGTAAGCAGCCATTGCTTGCGTTTGGAAGACTCTGCTAGAAGCGTTTAGAGAAAATGTTTGTCATTTTTTTGTGAAGGCTGTAACAGCTTTGAGACATCTTACTCATAGTCTACTAGTTACAGTTCTCTGAATGTCTATTTTGCGTTTCTCTTTTCTCTTTTGCAGTACTACTCTTTCAAGTATAGATGTGATGACTGCCTCTATAATCCTACTAGATACAAAATAATATACGATTTTAATCAAACGTCGGTAAATGTAACTGTGAACAGCGGAGCAACTTACACGGTGTGGATCCAAGTGCGTTCAAGGTATGGAACTGGAAAATGGGCAGAAACAACAGCAGCTACACAGCCTTCACTGGGGCAAGTTACCAAGCTGATGGCTCATGCAGACAGCCATAACCCGACCCTTGCTCATCTGACATGGGGACCACCAAGCAACGTTAAAATTCCCATTCTGGTGAGTAACATCGATTGTTATACCTCCCAACTCAAATACGTTTTCCGATTAGAGGGCGGGCGGGTTTCTCGTAATGGCTCGAAGGTGTTCACCATGGAGTACGTTCCCTGAGCATGCGCCCAGTTTCCCCAATTAAAGGCAGCCTATGATTGCATGTGGCTACTGTTTTATCAAGCGATGACTTTTGACGTCATCGTGCTTATGTCGCGCACGATTTATCCTGAATCGAAACGAGGGGAACAGGCAACTAAACCTGTGTTTTTGCAAAGCACCATCTTGATTTTCGGGATCGAGTGAAGTCGTTTTTAGGCGGCTTGTAGCATCGACAAAGTGTTGGTTAGATTTCCAGTTGTTAAACGCAGGTATCGGGACTGGAGTGATAGTTGTATTTTATCCATTGTCTTCTAGTTACGTTCAAGCATCCGTGTGTTAGGTTTTTTTTCCAATTTTCTGGACAGAATTTTAGAAATGGCAGTTTAAATGTCACCGCTTCTGCTTGCATTGCGTGCCGTTTATTTTTGTAGAAATAACATCGCAGTAAAAAAGCAATGCTGTATGAAATGTAGACGGGTAAGTGAACATATATAGTCAATGATAAAATTGTGACGAAAGGAGGACTTGGTCAGAACTGAGTTCGTTGCTCAATACAAATTGGGATTTGGTTATGATCGGACAGATTAGAGGTTGTACGCTCGTCAGTTGACAGGGTGAGTTACAGACAGGGACTGTAGCATTGCAGATCCATTCACTCCTTTTATAGACACAACCAAATTTGGAAGTCATGTGATCAGAACAAAAAAACACGCCTAAAACGCAAATGTTACAGCTTGCATTTCTAGGTAACATCAATATCATTTCACAGAGAAATATCTCAGTTGAGTTCCTTACACGACAACGTTGATACTTAAAATGAACAGTCTTGTGACTGTATTCCAGCAGTTTTATATAACTAATTGATTAGGTGTCTTTTATCGTAGTTTTTTTTATTTCGATTCACGCAGCTTAAAATTTAACATCACGATACACTGTGCTGAACAGCCAAGAGAGACTGCTTCAACTGTGTTTGTCTTTGTACAATCTTGTGACATCAATCATGTATCTTGAATATATCTTGTTTCAATGCAGCTGATACTTGTCAATAAGTTTAGCCATTTCATTGTCCTACAAACAGAATAAAAGAGGGTATGAATTAAAATCATAATTATGATTATAATTTACTAATTTCTTTAATAAGTATAACATTGTTATTACCAAAATGATAACCCAATCGCTAAATATATACGTCAACAACCTCACCCTCCATAAATTGCAGACAAAAAGACCTATTATTCCTGATACATTGTTGACTCCAGTACCTCACAATCTTCTATGTTATGTACTAAAATTCAAACAGTATGGCTGTTCCATTAGCAGTTAATTACCATGGATATTTAATGAATGAAAAAGAAAAAGAAAAAATATTTCAAGACCTATGCACTTAGCAACAGAAAGGCCCTGAGTGAGGATTTATTTCCATATCATTGGGTACAAAGTCTTCGTGTAAAAAAACGTGTAAATTATTTGCTATAAGTGGGTTATTCTTTCAACTCAATGTTTTAAGATATATCGATGCCATTTAAAACCGTACAACAATAGCGTAGAACAAAGCTTTCCTTTCACAGAATTTCCTTATTTTTTGGCTTTGAAAATGAATATCATCCACGATAAAAGAAACTATGATACCACGATATAAATGAAAATTCAAGCAAAATAACGATTTCAGTCAACTCACCTTTTTAATCGTGCCAAGAAACTTTTATTTCTTTTCCATCCGTTCTGGTACAGCTCAAAAGCTGCAACAGTGACCAACAGTGACCTTCACCTAACGCCGCTAGAGGAAACTTATGTCGATTTGCATGCCGATTATGTGTTTTGTCGATCGGAGGTGTTTGTTCGCGAGCTCAAAGCTATCGAATAAACACCCATTCCAGACTGTGTATTAAGCAGCTGTGAATCAAACGTACTTTGCTCATTATCCCATATTGGCAAAACAAAGATGGTGAATCGCTAATTGACTTTATTTTCACGTGGCTAGTTCGTTGGGGGTGTTGGATTTCCTTCACTGTGGGAATGTACGGTCTTACTCATGTCACACTACAGTCTGTCATTTTAATGTGAGAGGACTTGGTTGTCCTGTGGAAGTATACGGACTCACTCACTTACAACGCCATGACATGGTGGCTATGCCTTCCCAGAAGGCAGTACCACGAAAACTGATTCAAAAATTCGCACAAAAAAACTATAAATTTCGAAGATTGAGATTTTGAACTAAAATCTCTTGGTGATCTTTCTCAAAGAACTGATAATCAAGGGATTAATGATCCAACAGAAATCAACTTTGCACAATCAAATTAATGGACCTTTCTACCGGTGTCACGCGTTTCTGAATTTTTGATTCAAACAAAAATATAAGCGTCACCGTTCGATTTATCATGCCGAGTTCAGTAAAAAAAAGCGCAATTCCATCAGAGTCCTTTGCAAGCTCACCAAAAGTTAACTTACCAACTGTCACAGAGAAATGTCTGCCAGGGGTCAACACCTGCTCCCTGGCAGACATTTCTTTGTAGCAATGGGTAAGTTTGGGGTCCCATATTTTCACGACTTTGCAACAGAGTATTATAAAACTTCTCTCATTTACGAAATTGGGCATGATAAATTGATCTGCGGAGATTTTTTTTTTTTTTTTGCTATACTGCGCAGTTGTTCCCATGGACAATCTCGGACGGCTTTAACCCTAATGATGCTACTAAGTCGAAATCGTTCGCTTTTATAAGATAATTTCTATTTTCTATGTTTATCAATCATTTATCTGAATTGTATTATAATGATTATTTGTTTTATATTTTTTGGTTTCTTTTTACAGTATTACGTGGTAATTACTACATGCCCGAATTGCAGTAGTTTTGACCCAATTAGGACAAAGATTTACGGGACCAGCTTCAGCCAGAACCTTTCTTGTGGTCAGACATACGTCTTCACTGTCACGGCAGCTGCCCAGCTGGAGGCTAGTACTCCCATTCAAACATACATCCAACTGAAACCTGCCTCTATAGAACCAGTCGCAAACCTGACTGTCAAGTATTTCCCTGGCACCCTTAGTGATGTCGTTCCCGACGAATCGTTTGACACGTTTCTGTTGACGTGGGATCCACCGAAGAATTTACCTGACAGAATTGAGGTACAGCGAAGCCTAGATAATAACTTCTTACTACCTGAGTGCGAGGGCTGCACCGGGAAATATTGACCTTAGATCGTGGCAGTACAAAAACGACAGAGAGTCAATATTCCCCAGTACGGCTCGAGCAAGCTAGGTTAGTAAGTAGTTTATTACATGACGCTCAGGTCTTGGTTTTTTTCGGGTTTCAAAGGCAAAAAAATACACGGCTCGTTTCCATGGAAACGGTGTATGGCAAAATTCCAAGTAGTAAAGAACCAATCCGAAGGCTCGGATCTACGTCGAGACTACCATGAGGTAGTCAAATAATAGTCAAATAATTAACAGGCGTATGTCTTGTCCTTCCAACCTTGTTCAAAGAGATCCGGTGACAATCCTTTTGTCCAGCACCATGAGTCGGGATCTCTGGGTGAAGTAGGATGATGGGCCAGTATTAATCACAGCGGTTTATTCTCTCTGTGCATATTGAGAAGCCATATCGAACCTAAATGAACGCATGTGAGAATAGCCTGTTCCAGGCTTCAGTCAGTGAGGATGATCGAAAAAGCAGGCGGGCGACTAGCGAGGCCTGGGAGAGGCTTCTTTTTCCTAGACCCCGCTCGTTGTCTACCTATAGTTATTATTAATGATTCTTTACAGCGCTCAAGAGTCGATCCGAGAGCGATTCTTCGTATATGACAGATTTCTATAAACGTGGTCTGTAAAACAGATCGCATTAAAAATAAAAAGTTGTGCTCATCATTTCGTGACAATCGGAGTAGAAAACCTCAAAGAAAAAACCTTTACCTAGCCCGAGATCCATGCTTACAATTCATGCTTTTTTCTGTGTACCATTTAGGGTTATGAAATTGTGGTATTTAAAGATAACACCAAGGTTAAAAGCAGCACGACAAAGGTAACTCGCTTGTTAATCAAGTGCAACGACCTAGAAAAGGGACGGAGATACGTTTTCCTTGGTCACGTCAAGGCGTTATGTGGTTACGGCAACGTAAAATACACGTCTGGATATTACCCCCGTAGTGGTGGTGAGTCTAGCTTCGGTTCATTTATTNTTTTTTTTTTGAAGATCTTGACAGGCTTTGTCTTTTTATTTCCTTTACCTCAGATACGCCTTCGGTCGCCCCCACTGCTGGCAAACAAACCGGTACGAAGCACGGTCTGAATGCGGCCGTATGGGCAGTGCCGGTAGCCATTGTTGGACTGATCTTTGTTATTATCCTGGCGTTCTTTATTCGTAAATCTCGTCGACTGGAACGTTCCATGTTTGCTCTTATGACCAGACGTTCCATGGACGATGATGGCGGAGTCACATTTCATTCAGGTATCGGTCGATATTAACGTATCTAAACTCAGAATTAGCCAATCAGTAGGCTCGATTTCCGACGCTCTCGACTCCGGTCTTTCGGGGGAGAAGGCGGCCTCTTTTCCCGTACAGTGGGTGGTGATCGAGCCTAGCCAATCATTTGCATTGATCGTATCTCAGGATTATCGTAGGATTTTTAGAGGAATCCAGGTGGTGTCAGTACGTAGGTGCACCTTTTCGGTAGCCTTCCACGGAATGTTAGGCTCGTTTGGTCTCGCCATGAGCATTTTGACTCAACTGCGTCCTGCCAAAACTTGAAAAACGAACCATGACTTGACTAAGCTCGCCTGTTATGTCTGCTGCAACAGATCAAAAAAGGCTGACTCCTGCCTGGTCGCTATTTACGTGTTTTAGGGGAGAGAAGATCGGATACCTTTGTGGATTATGGCGTGCGGGGTGTCATGGGAAGGGTCGAAGGAAAAATAGCTCTTTTTTCCCGCCTCCTGCGAACTCCCCGCGCGCTCTACTCGATCCAGGCCACTTTCTCTTTGAGACAATCCAATCTGACACCGTAAATAGCGACTGGGTACGAGTCTGCCAAAAAGGTACGATTAGAGTTTGCAGGTAGCACGGTTTTTAGTGTATTGAATGGAAGCCTCCGTAAAACGGCCTGATTTTAAGTTCGTCTGTTTCTTTCTCCCTTAGACGAAGATGTACCCATAATTCAAGGCTTCTCGGACGATGAACCGCTGGTCACTGCATAAACGGCTCGTCCGCGGGCCTGGACCTTTCCCGTTTGTGCTTAGTTTTATAAAGCTTAAAATGAACTGTGTCTTACTCTTTCCACTCGAAAAATCGATAAAACCCGTGGGCATAATTTGCCGCATCTCGCTTGATCATTTCGAGTGGCAATAGTACGAATCGGTTCACTGTAATGGTTAAGTGTTGTAATCTGTAGATAAATTTTGTATGCCTGATAAAATGGTAGGTCTACCGTAACATGGCTCTAAATAGCTATTCGTTTTTCTAATGTTGTTCTTAGAAACGAGAAGATCGCCTTTCATCGGAATCAATTCCAAATATTGTAGTCTATAGTGTTTACTTTCGGAGCGGTTTATGAAACCCTTAAAAAGCATTGCATCCTGTCGTTGCAGTTAATCAGAGTGAAGCGCTTGCTGCCTCAGCCAATCGAACGCAACAGGAAAAGTGTAGTAAGGAGAAGTTTTCACTTACAACGCGGTCGTCGTGACGCTTGCGTAGGTAACGCATGTACGTAGAATTCAATTTGCTGATCTCACATTTTTAATTTTTCTTTCATCGCGGCAATTTTCACCGGTGGCACGATTTTTTTTTTCAGTAGATTGCGTGGCCTTTGAAGGCAAAAAACACTGTATTTTATTCTTAATCTCCGTCGACCCTTCACTTCCCAGGAGACACAAATCCCTAGCTTCTCCCAAACCCTGATGTCATCTAAGATTCATAGCGCGCCTTTTTAACGGATCGACAGCTTGGTTGCAAAAAGGGGACAGGTCAGCACAGAACATCTCGCCGAAACCTACGAATAGTGCCAATCAGCTAAACTTAAAGTCCACGACCATTGGGCGATGGTGAAAAAGCGTTTTGATGTTAAACGTTTTTTTCCTCAGTTGAATGGTAGGAGATTTATAAAAAAAACAGTGGTAAGAGTTTTTCAGTAGACCTGCACCTCTTAAAAACCTCTATTTTGATTCGTTCTTGTCAATCTGCAGCTGTTTCTTAGGGCTAGGGACATTGTGTATTACAGTAAACACCCGCGTATAAGAACCTAGTGATTTAAGAACCTACAGGCTGAAATTGGGCATTTTAATACCCAAATATATAAGAACCTATTTAGGCTG